ATGTATCTGTTACATTTGATAGCCATTTTTCTTCCATGAATTTCTTTCAATCAGTTTGTAACCCATTTAGCATCCAGTACATGTTTTGGCAAACAATTCTTAGATTACTTTACACGTTGTTTGAAGAAGTAACTCCTTTTTTTTTTTTTTTTTTTTTGGCTTGACTCTGTCTTTTGATACCTTCATTTGATGTCTCTGTATTCTTGTATTAGAAGAAAGAGCATTTATTCCCTCTTCATGTTTTATTCCTTCATGATTGTCACATGGAAAAGCTGTTGAGCTATGTGGTTTAAATCAAATCAAGATCAAAGTGGTTTATTGATTTATTAATAACAGTTCACCAGCAATCAACCAACTACACATTCAAGATCAAGGCAATACAGCAGGTAACAACAACACTAGACATCCATAAAATGTTAATAAGTTCCTCCAAATTGCTAAGCACCCACAAATTTTTAAGCACCCTTGTGCAGCTAGTCTCAGAAGATTTAATATCTCTGCACACTCTCACAAACATGTTCACAGAATTACATATGCACAAACTGCCTTTTCTAGCAGGCATTAATTACAAGCACACACCCCATTTTTAGGGGGCGGGATGCAAGTCGGCTCTTGCCACACAGCTCCTGTTAGAGATGAGGGTGCTGTAGATAACTTTTGAATATGCTGTAGCACAACGCTTCCTTTATGCCTGCAAAATTTCATCAGGTAAATTTTTCTATTATATCTGAAAATATTAAACTATCTGTTCAGATAATAGTCCTCTTTGCGTAACTGGTGCTGAATAACGAAAACGTCTTTCTCCCAACTACACAAAATGTCTGATTTTCATTCACTGTTTTTCATCCTGGTGTCTTATCTGGATAGGTACGTGATCATTCTTTAGAATGGGGCCTTTAGGAATCATGCAGAAAAGGACATTGAGTTGTTTCCATTGCTTTTATTTTTTTTCCCTAGCTTTTCTTAGCTTTAGCTATCTTTGAAGATAAATTTTAGCTTACTTTCTCCAAAGATGGCACTATCTTCTAGATCTTGCCTCGCAGAATAGCAAACAGTATATTATTTTTATTAATTGAATTTGTGATTGAATCTAGTAACTTCACAAAAGCATTGTTAAAGATTCTAAAACGAATGAGAGTGATTAAAGGCAGAGCATTTTTTAAATGCAGTCTGAGTTTTTTCTTAGTGCATATAGGCTGGATTTAGAACTGTGAACTCACCTTGTGAACTCACCTGAACTTTTGTGTGTTGCCTTTAATTTTATAATGAGTATTATGGGAAGCAGAATGAAGCTCAGAAATAATAGGATCTTCAGACAAAAGAGTGTTTTCAGGTCTGTAAAAAGGCAAAAAAGGCAAAGTAAATGTAAAAGGGAAAATTCTCAACTCATTTCTAAATGTTCAATTCAGATAAATGGGTGTTTAGTACTGCGGCATTCTATTGAGCATCTGAGCAAATATTTTGCTTGCACAAATGGCAGACTTACAGTTTTGTCCTCAGTGAAGTTCTGAAGTCACTCACTGAGTTGTAATATTTTTATACACTTTTTCATAATGGAGAGAGGAGAGGCTAGCTTTTGCATATTGAAAGGATTTTGGAGAGATAGCTTTGGCACCAGAAAATTGCACTGCTGAGAGCTACAAAGGCTTTATTTTTCTATTGCCAAAATAAAAAGCAAGTACACTTAATCACTGTCCTCTTTAAGGATTTGTGATAGTGCCCATTGCTTCTTTGCGTGGCAACCTCACACTAATAATTTAAACAAGTATTAATACTGTTATCTCAAAAACTCATACTTGGTTATGAAAATACTTATTATCAGGGCCCTGAAATGTCAAGTGTAAAGATATTTACCATTCTGGCTTGCATAAATGTCCCAGCATTGAAAAATCAGACATGACTCTGTCTGAGGTGGGTTGCAGGGCAGTCTGCTGGAATGTCCCGGGTTCAACGTTACGGGTTTAGAGCTTTTATAATTTGTCACGAGTGCCCCACCTTTCACACAGAGTTGCATTTGTGGTTTGTGTGAAATGTAAAGTTATTTGTGGTTTCATATTGAAAGCGTGAG